TAATCAAGTAAATAAATAGTGGTAAAAGAAGATATTCAGATCTCCTACATAAGTAATACAAGTATGCCTTATGAGCTCATTAAATATAGAACATGAACGTATACTGTCAGTTAAATAGAGTACAATATATCCTTACATCTGGTAAAGTAAAACTAGACAAAGTAGTAAAGTACAAATAATAAAGTGAAAACCCTCAAATGAAACCTTAACACTGATAAAGAAACACCTATACTTTTCAAAAGCAGCCAGTAAAACCTCCAATAAAATGGGTGATATATTTTAAAAGCGCCTTTGTATATATTCATCTGTTAAGTAACCGGTTGCAAGAGCTGTCAGGTAAATTGAGCTGTCAGGTAAATTGAATTGCATTGGATGTTTTATTGATAATATATTAAAAAGAAATGTATTACATCTGTAATTAAATTATATATGCAGAGCTTCACCAGAAAGCATCACATTTGTGTACAGGATTAAATCACAGGAAAGCCCTGACGAGTGTTTTTCCATTTATGGTCGTTTTTCTAACCTTTAAATCAGGTACTTGAGTTATGTGACAGTTGACCCGGCTGTGGTGGATAATAACTTTGCATGTGTCCATTCAGTATAATGAGTATTGTTGTACTTTTAATGTATGTGATGGATTACTACTTTCACTTAAGTAAAGGATTCCCTTTCGTAGCCTCTCAGTATTTTCCCACATCTTTCTGTAGAACCACATTAAACGCAGAGCTGCAAAAATGTGTCGATTCATCAACTAATTGATTTAAAGAGAAATATTCTGCAGGTATTTTAATTATTACTTAATCCATTAGTTAATATTTCAAACATAATCATTTCAGGTTCTCTCTTCTATTTGTCTTCTATTATATTAAATGTATATTATTTGTTGGTTTTGGACAGTTTTTGGACATGCAATTTAATAAGGGATTTAGAAAAATGTGATTGATGTCTTTATTGTTTTCTGTTATTTTACAAACCCAATAATCAGTCGAATCAATCGGTAATGTGGTTCTGTTTCTCTCAGCCTACACACACGCACGCACACACACACACACACACACACACACACACACACACACACACACACACACACACACACACACACACCACACACACACACACACACACACACACACACACACACACACACACACACACACACAGTCCGAATCGTGCAGAGTTGGCTCTGCCTTTCTGCCACGGAGATGTTGTTAATTACCACATAGGTGACAGTATGACAAGCTGTCTGGGTGTGTGTGTGTGTGTGTGTGTGGTGTGTGTGTGTGTGTGTGTGTGTGTGTGTGTGTGTGTGTGTGTGTGAGTGATGGTGACACCTGATCATCTTGACTGTAGTGCCCCCTGCAGCTCACACGAAAACAATCCTCCTCCTTCCTACCTCTACCTTTCCCCCCCCTTACCCTCTTTTCTCTTTTCCTCCCTCCCTCCGTTTTTACTACTGTTCCTTTGTGACCTGGAAACTGATTGCAGTGCTACCATCTCTAAATCCATTTGAAGTGACCAAGATGTCCTTACTTTGTCCTTTCCTTTCTTGTTAGCAAAAAAGGTTTCCTCTCAGTACCTCTTTGTTTGGAAGTCTAATTAACACTGATCAACTAAATTAAAGCAGATGTTTTATGTTGAAGGCAGAAGAAGGGAGCTGTCACACATTCACATGCAAGAAGAAGAATAACTACATAGAACAACTAGTCATAGGTTAATACGTACCCACAATGGAGACTGGTAGACAGTACTACTAACTGTTAATCTTTACAGACAGATATCTGTATATTAATGCTGAATCTGTATTTAACAGGAATACATTTTGGTAAGAGAGTCGTTCTGGTTTCCATTTGTGGTCCGATTGATTTTGAACAATCATATTGAGCTTTGAGTGAATGCAGTTGGAGAGCTAAATTGGCGAAGCGGATTGGCCGGAATTTGTGGTGTAGTGGTCTCTGGACATGTGGGTAATCAACGTTAGGTTGATGGTTGGCTTAATAAGGAGAAAGGCTGTGTACTTCTGTGCATTTCAATGGCTTTTTGGCTGGTAGGATCGTGAACATTCACAGAAAAAGAGGTGGATTTATTCCATACACGACTACACAACTGATGTCTTTGGACCAATAGCAGAGATTGGCCTGCTGGTAGGCTGTACTGACCAGCTAACAGACTGTAAAAGTGTTATGTTAGGCTCCACAGAGTAGTTGTTTGACCATAAAAACAGACTTATAGGCTTTTATAACTTACTGGTAAAAATGGTTAAAGTGTCATTAGGATGCAAGAATGACTGACTGTACTGAAGCTGTGTGTGCAGCCCACACGCACAGCAGTGTCTTAGTTTGCATTGCCCATTTTACACAGTAAAGGTACATTTATACTACTGTAACACACTCTCCTCCACACAAATCAATTTGACCTATTTATAGAACATGACAGCATTACTAAACACTGCGATTGTGTGTGTTTGTGTGCCAGGACTCCAGCAGTGGGCAGATTGAGAAGCAGCATGTTGTTACGTCAGGAAAAGATTAGTTTGGAAACCTGCAGAGAACACACACGCCTGCACGCACACACACACACAAACAAACAAACACATACACTCACACAAACAAACAAACAAACAAACTGTGTGTGTGTTTGTGTGTGCGCATTTATTTGTGGAATGACAGCAGGCCGAGATGAGAGGCCGTCTAGCTCACAACTCATACTTGGTCTTACAAACAATATCAGAATCTCACACATACACCATTAAACTCTTTTATACATATTGCTAAACACTTTTACACGCACAATCATACTCTCTTTCACACACTTTTGTCTGGGCCATAAATCAAACTTACTTACATACCAAACTGTACTTTCTTAGAAACACTATTATTCCCACTTACAGACAACATCATACTACAATATAATACTCTAGTAGTGTATGCAAGATGGAAAACTTTGTGTGTGAGAGAGAATGATAGTGTATGTGAGAGGAATTGTTGTATGTATGAGGGTATAGTAGTGTGTGTGAGAAAGAATGATAGTGTATGTGAGAGGAATTGTTGTATGTATGAGGGTATAGTAGTGTGTGTGAGAGAGAATGATTGTGTGTGTGTGTGTGTGTGTGACATTGTACTGGTTGTGAGAGAGCATACTTTAAAAGGAAGTCAGGTTGATCCAACAGGAAGCCAGTTTAAATATTCATTCCTTGGCTGGTTTACAGCCTTGAAAACGAAGCCTGATGCTGCTCAGAGCACTGCTAGCTACATTTGAGCTGCAGTAAGAACTTTTAAGATTGTTTTATAGGTCTGTAAGAACAGTATGAAGAAAGCCATGATATTTCTTTTTATGTACCTTGTTCTTCAGGGCCAGTTTTTTTCTTTCGTGGAGGTTAATGAGGAAGACATTACTACTTTTTTCACTCTAACGGTGCGGTGTGCTCAGAACATTATGAGGGAAAGTGAGAGCGTGGGACCTGACAGCATGGTTTTGGACAGATTATTTAGTGGACTTGCTGGATACCAACGGACATTTTTTACTTTTCTATCAATTAGCCAGGAGTTTGCAGGGACTGATAGTCAAGAAACTTCAGTCGTCCTTGCGGCCCTGTATGTATGTATGTATTTGTGTAATTACCAACACATATGAAAGCTCAAGATCATTACATGAAAGACACATTACTAGTCTTAACTCAAGGGTACCTCCAACAACAAGAACTGGCCATCCTGGTCCCCCTCAGTACAATATACAACGTGAGCAAATGATGCACTGTTTATCACTTGGAATGAGTTGGCAAATAACGGCAGTCTGCTTAGGAATCAACAGGAGCACACTGTAGACACAGACAGCGGCTTGAAATTAGACCACTGACCTATGCAGGAATGTCTGATGAGGTTCTGGCAAACACTGTTCGCGAGATCCTTCAAACTACCCCTAATGCAGGGGAAAGGTATGTTTTAGGGAGTCTTCGTTCACGGCACATCAGAATACAACGTTGGCGTGTGAGACGCTGCCTGCAACAACTTGACCCGGTTGGACGGGCTTTTCGCCGCCGCCGTGCAATTCGTCGAAGAGTTTACAATGTTCAAACTCCCAATCAATTATGGTGAGTATTGCATGACATTAAATTATGTGCCATGAATGCACAAGTAATATAGTAGATATTGCCCCCACTAGAACTTTATTTTACGTTAAAAATATAAATACTTATATAATAGTCAATAAAGGATGTCCTTTATCATGTGCTTTTGTCTTAAACAACACAAACTGAGTTCATGCTGTGAAATAAAAAAGGTGTTGTAATTTGGAAGGACTAATCCTTTGACTTCTAGAAGGGTAACCATGTGATGGACATTCTGGTTCTGTATTAACAATATTCATCATGGTTGCAATTTTATTTTTGTAAATATTGAAGTTTTTTCTCCCTACAGGCATATAGACGGAAACCATAAACTGGTGAGATGGCGGATGGTGTTTCATGGATGTGTTGACGGCTTTAGTCGCACCATCATTTATTTGCAATGCCTCAATAACAACAGGGCATCAAGTGTTCTGGGACTATTTTGTACTGGTGTACACAACTTTGGGCTTCCCTCAAGAGTACGATGTGACCATGGCATGGAAAACACAGGGGTTGCCAGGTATATGCTAGAGAGAAGGGGATTAAACAGAGGCAGTGTCATTACGGGACGCAGTGTCCATAACCAGAGGATAGAACGGCTGTGGGCAGAGCTTAACAGAGTTGTCTCGTTCCACTTTAGTAACCTTCATGGAAAATGAGGGCATATTGGATTCGACGAATGACCTCCATTTGTTTTGTCTTCACTACATCTACCTGCCAAGAGTTCAAAGGTCAGCTGCTGAATTCCAAAATCAGTGGAACCACCATGGATTATCTACAATGGGTGGACAAACTCCTCTCCAACTGTGGCAGAGAGGAGTTCTAAACAGTGCTGGAGCTGGAAACTTGGCAATTGATGACATTTTTGAAGGAAACGAGACAGTTGGAGTCAATGAACACATCCCCTTACCATTAGGTAAATGACTTTAATGTTAATGAAACCATGATGAACAGAATTGAAGAACTATTTGACCCGTTGAGTGATGATGGTAATCACGGCATATCATTTTTTTTAGTTCTGGTGAATGTTCTTAGTGAACTGTAAACACTGGAAATGGTTCACACTTAAAGTAACAAAACAAGCACTGTTTTTTTTTTTTTTTAAACACACTGAAAGTAACAGTTATATATTTATGTGATTTGTTGCACCACTGGGCCATAATACCTTAATTATGTGCCCAGTTACTCAATCAGCACTAATAAAGCAATGGTTGATAAATAATAAAAGTGACTTTTAAAGAATAATGTTTTTTTGCACTTCGCTAAAATAAAAAAATAAAATTGTTCTTCACATTGCTTCAAGAACCTGGCTGAAACCTCCTGAACGAGGTAGATGGAACGAACATAATGTTCCCATTACTCTCTTCCAAAACCCTGTGTGTTACCTAGTGCAAAGTCCATGCACTCTTTAAAATCATCATAAGTCTCAAGCAGCGGCAACTTGAGGCAGTTTATGCAAGTGTTCGCCATGGGCAGACGCTGTTTGGGGCTGGAGGGATGCTCATGCAGGAAATCAATTGATGGCTGAGGAGAGAAACCAACTGGAGGGATGACACTTGCACCTGTTGCAAAGGCAACTAACCCTAACTTTGGTGGTCCCTCTTGATCTAAAACACAGTAAAGCAAGCAAAACAATCATTACAATTTTAAACCATACCAGCAAGTACAAAATACCATACAGAAAAAATCTATTAGTAAAGAATGAAAGACAAAGAAACCAAACATGTGACAAGTAAGAGGATATTTTAAGACAGGAAGAAAAAGGAAATAGAAACAAACCAAGATTAAGGAAAAAGGCAGACAATGAAAAGAGTAATGTCAATGTGGCATTATGTTGTAGCAAGTCTTTGCACACTAGTGCCCCTTTCACACCAGCGCTTTTTCAGCTCCGGCTCGGAGCTGGAGCCTGAAAAGCACCGGGTTTTCCTGTTCACACCGCAGCGGCGCCGGCTCTTAGCTCCGGAATCCGGTTCACTTCCAGCTCCAAAAAATTGTCGGTCTAGAGGCAAGAGCTTCGGAGCTAAGAGGTGGCGTCGCTTACGTCTCTCTTACGTCGAGGCGTGCAGGAAACTAACCCCACCTCCCCTGAACATGGGTCGACTGTCATGCCTGCCTACAAGCAGTAGTGCTTAATAAACACACTTTATAAAGTCAGGCAACACTAACCAGGCTTCGTGTGATTCTGTTTATTTGTACCTTACTTTGACCATCCGTTCACTGTTATTGATCATTGTGGAGAGAGGCAGACGTGTTGTTTTGTATTATAGCAGCTATCGGATGGAATCAATACATGGGCTGCACAGGTTGTCGTGTCCGACTATCACAAGTAGAATCATAATAAAAATACGCCTGTAAAATGTGCCTGTAGAAAACGGTTTATGCCACAATAGGATAGCAATAGCAAGTAGTCAGTTTAGCTTCAGTTGCTATGCTAACATCACCCATTTTATACCAGAGAAACTTTCATAACAGCGTTGTGATACCAAACAGCGTCAATTCAGACTGACACACATTCACTTAGGCTAAGGGGAACTGGGGATATGTATCAGCTGCTTGTGTGAGTCGGACAGTGAATACTTTAGAGCGCAGTGTGAGCTAACCGGGAGCTAACGGAGGAGAATAAACTCCCGTGGAAGAGCAGCCAACACTGCAGCGGTCGGTAAATGCTGCAGAAACACATTAATAAACAATGAACCACGGCACTCTGGAGCAAAGTATAAGGTTGGAGAAGTCGTTATTCAATTTAATCTGGCTTTGTGTGATTAAAAGCAACACGATCATCGACCCGACGCAGTTCCCCGTTGTTGTTGTTGTGAGCGCCGTAATGCCGTTGGGGAGCAAATCAGCGATGTAAACGGTGACGTCATGACGCAGCAGCGGCAGCACCAGTCGGGTGCTGGGCGGTGTGAACAGAGCGGGAGCAGAAAAGGGAAACCAGAGCTGAACCAGAAAAGCTCTAGCTCGGAGCTAGAAAGGGAAAAGCGCTGGTGTGAAAGCCGCATAAGTGATCAACATCATTGGAGACAGTACTACATCTAGCAGCAGTATTCAAGTATTAACCTTCCCCCCCCCCCCACACCCAAACAATAAAAACACTTGCAATATTAGATTAAACAAAAATACTAAAAGAGAACTGAGAAACTGAAAATTAAATTAATCTGTAACAATTAAGTAAAAACTGTATGTGAGAAATAATACAGCAGGGCCTGAGAGTGTATTATCATTAGTAGTAAGAGTACCAGTCGCAGTTACAAGGGCATACCGTTATCCCCAACCGCTAATGTATCGAAATTAAGCTTATGGTCTGAATAAGGGTTCCTGCAGGTTTCAAAAACTCAAATGCAAGACCACTCTGAATATAATTTAATACCTATTTCACGGCAAGAAAGTATGAAGGAAAATTGCAATGAAAGAAGAAATAAGTAAACTTATTCACGTTCAATATAATTGTATGATTGGTGTTTGGCTACGGTATTTAGCGTCCACACTCCACAGCACCTCCGCTTTTAGGGTTGACGCAGACACAAGGTTATCCCCGATGTTGTTGCGGGAGCTGAATTACTGGGTAACATTACACTGGACACGCGTGATGCTCGCGAAGCATTGGCGAACACAGAGGACATGGCAGGCGTTTGTTGTTTATTCCTTACCTGGGTCTTATGTTTCGCTGACTGCGTGTGTGATTCCAAAAGCCTTTACACACTAGCATAAGGTGCAGCGGGCTTCTAACACGTTCCCGCCACTAGTTTCAACCAAGCACTAAATTCCTCTTTCTCCAACCATATTCGGTTAAACTTACACTTCCCCATAATGTTCGTAAAAAGATGTGAAGATACCTCCGGCTCTGACTGACGCTAGCTAAAGCTTGTTTTCTAGTTACTAGCTGGGTGCTCTCAATAAGGGGCAGGGGTTCTCAAAGTTTTGATGAGTGAGGGCCAATTTAGGTACCCAATATTGGATTGAGGGCCGCCCAAGAAAAAACGGAAACACAAAATAATTCCAAAACAAATCCTTTCTTTATTGTACTAACCAATTACCGCAACTCGCGAGATGCCTAGTTGCCATGCAACCAGTAGTCTAGCAAACTTTCCACAAGCTGTCATTCATAATTTAGGAATGACAAACCCAGGGGGCGCAGTTTCCCATTCTTAAATTCCATTCTAATTCTTACTAGATACAACCATGGAGGATTAAAAAATATAACGCATGCATTTCAGAAACATTTCCGAGGGCCGCCATTTTCCCGCGGGCCGCACTTTGAGAACCCCTGGGCTAGGGGATGCAAAGTTATTGCTGCAAGTTATTGGTTCCATGTTGATTTATTATTAATTAATTTGGGGGGGAACTGCAACACAGAAGTACCTTCCAAATCCGTTTAAATAACTATTAAATCATATTGAAGACCTTTCTTGATTTTTAAAATATTATTTAAGGGCTTACATTTTGATGATTAAATGTAAGACTTTTTAAGACCCCGCGGGAACCCTGTGATTAGTCTCGTTTCTAACATTTGACTGCCCCGCTATAGTAGGCTAAGAAGCGTTAGCTTCAAGCAGTAAGAAACGTAGGCTTCAATCAACAACATACATATTAAAATGACCACGGTTGACATTAAAAAAATAAACGTACCTCTTCCTTGACTTTGAAGTCCATCCCCCAAAATACTGCTGAGTTTGATATCGGGGTTGCAGCACTTGGTTCAGGTTGGCGCCTATGAGGCTCCACCGCCACTCCCTGATGCACCTGATCCGCGTCTGAAGGCCCGCTGCAATTCCTCGTCAACGCTCGCACTAGAATTGCCTACTGTGGACGACGTCGACTGTCGTCTTTGATCCATCATTCCTGACAGCGATGTGACAACATTTGGAGAAGGCCTATCTAAAATATTAGTTAAGAGGCCTATGGCTTCATTAAGTAGCTCCCTTTCCACCATTTTCTCATCTCACAATGGCGCTATGTGGGTGTGGGCGGAGTCCGTCAAACAAAAAACGTAGAGCCAATCAGGAACTGAGAATTTAGTCCAACTTTCCGTTTCAATCATACTCACCTCCTTTTCAATCATAGTCTCTCACACAACAACTATTCTTATGCCCACACCCTATCATTCTATTTTATACACATACCTATAGTCATTCACATGAACTATTTTATTACCTCTTATATACAGCTATTATTCGGCCTTTCATTCACTGCATTCCGTTTTACATATACAAACTATTGTTATTAACATGAAATACTATTCCCTCTTACATAGGTTATTATTCTGTTTTACATACATTGTTTTACCGATTACCACACATACTACTATCCTCTTTCACATACACTATTATAATGTTCTATTAGATTATAGTTTGTATGTGAAAGACAATATGGTTGTGTGTACGAGATGTATGATGGTGCTGTTTAAGAGATTTTTGTTTTTTGTGTGTGAGAAGAGAATAGTTATTTTATGTATGATAGTATGATAGTAAATGAAGGAAGGAATGACAGTACGTTAAAGACGGTATGATACTGTGTGTGAAAGAGTCTGGTGGTGTACATGAGAGATTCTGATATTGTTTGTAAGACCAAGTATGAGTTGTGAGCTAGACGGCCTCTCATAGTAATGAGCTCATCGTAACAACTTTATTAATAAGCCGATACATGAATTTTGCATCAATATTTGATCAAGATAAACAACAGTATAGGCTATCCATTTTATTTTTGTATAATTGTCTCCTTGCAGATAATTAGATTAGAAGATGGATAACACTCAATTGGGCCAAACCTAAACCATTTTCATTTTTACTAAACATAAAACAAGCTGCTTTGTTTCAATCCACATTGTTTGAAAAAAGCTGTTGGTTAGCTTAGCTTAGCATGCAGACTTGAAACAGGGAAACAGCTTGCCTCTAAAATAGGGTGACCAGACGTCCCCGTTTTCCGGGGACAGTCCCCGTTTGTATTGGCCTGTCCCCGGTTGAAACTGTCCCCGGAAATGTCCCCGTTTTTTAATATACGTTAAAAACACATAGCAAGGTGAAATAAAACGTTCCATGTCAGGAAACACTGGGTAAACAGACTGTGGTCAAGCCAGTCCCCACTTCGGAAAACACAGTCAAGCCAGCCCCCACTTCGGAAAACACAGTCAAAAGCACGTTGTATTGCGGTGCGCGAATATCCTATGCATTACGGTAGAGACATGTAAAAACTGCCTTCAAAATAAAAGCGTTTACTCGGACAATAACAAATATACCTAAAAAACACACCAAACATATTCTTACTGGAGCTTAAATTAAGAAATATGTACTATATAATGTGATCAATAATAATTTAAAAATAAACTACGTATAACTACCACATTATAACTGAGTGAATGTAAAATGTAAGGATACAGTTATGAAGATATATCTGACATTTCCACTGGGTGACTAATTTCAATTGATGTTGACACCATCTCACAACACTCCTAAAATAACATTACTTTCTGAATCACAATTTAAAATGTATGCTGTTTAAAATCTCAAATTAGATCTATTGTCCATCTATATTTTGATTATTATTTAATGGAAACCGTCCATAATCAACGAGTCATTCAAAGTCAATCAAATACTTATTTCACTTCAGGGTGATAGCAGGAGACCCCATCTAGTTAATCAGAGAAAATCAGGACAATCTGATGTAGAATTTCAAAAATAAAATCGTTTTGAAATCTCATATGGGCTATCGTCCTTCTGTTTTTATACAAGAATAAATAAAAAACTGTGAAATTATCAAAGACCTATTTCACTTTAGGGTGATAGCAGGTGACCCCATCTAGTCAATCAGAGAGAATCAGGACAATCTGATGTACAGTTTCAAAATAAAATACCTTTGAAGTCTCATATATGAGCTATCATCCCTCTGTTTTTAGATAAGAATAAAACAAAAACAATACAGTATCAAAGACTTATTTCACTTCAGGGTGATAGCAGGACACCCCCATATAATCACTCAGAGAGAATCTGGACAATCTGATGTACAGTTTCAAAATAAAAGACCTTTTGATGTCTCATGTATGAGCTATCTTCCTTCTGTTTGTATCCAACAGTTCAAATGTTCGAATTACATTAAACCAGAAGTGTCCCCCTTTTTTCTTTAAACAGTGAAGACAATAGGATATGTTAATGATATATTGACCGCACAAACTCAAAATGTCCCCGGTTTTTCATTTTGAAAATCTGGTCACCTTACTCTAAAATGCACTAATCAACACGACAATCTTGTGATTCTTGATCTTGAGAAGTGAATTGTGATTATTGTGGTTATGTGTCAGACTATATCCTGGCCCAGAGCAGTGTTTTCAGCCTTTATACTAAGCTATCAGCATATTTTTTCCCATATTCGGTAAAGAACCAGAAAAGCGTATTTTTTTAATACATAAAAACTTGTTCAGACCTCATTAAAACAGTATTTTTGGTAAACCTGATAACTGTACAAATAAGTTTTTGTGCTCACTCAGTAGTTTTGTTATTGATGAAGCTAAACACACACACACACCTGAGAGACACACACACACGCACGCACACACACACCACACACACACACACACACACACACACACACACAGTACTCTATGTGGAGTACTGCGTGTTAGTGCTTACCTAGCTAGGTGCTGCCTGCTCTACAGAGCGCTAACAAGCTAGCCACCTCATTACTCCCATTCTGTCTGCTGTGATTTATTGAGCTACCTGTGTGTGTGTGTGTGTGGGTGTGTGTGTGTGTGTGTGGGTGTGTGTGTGTGTGTGTGTGTGTGTGTGAGCATGCACCCTGCTCCCCAGTGTTGTCTCAGGAAGTTTTAATTAATTTCCTTCATGTGATGGGAGAGGAAGTGATGACAGTAAATGAAATGTGATTAGATGATTATCATCAAAATGCAATTAGTGGCCTGAAAGCGACCTAAGAAATAGAGGTAGGAAAGTGTGTATAAAATAAATAATGACTGTAAGTGTGTTAGTGTGTATGTGAAAGAGAAAGTGTGTGTAAATAGGACGGCAGTGATGAAGTGTGTCCTCGGCGACTTGTGTCTCAGAGGTAGTACACACACACTTAGGTGATGAAGGTTACACTGAACACGTACACACACTTACACACTGTGTAGGGGGCAGCACAAAGTTGTCAGGAGTTTAACCTTTGAGACAGATAGACGGACAGACGGACTGACAGACTGACAGACATACGGACATACGGACAGACGGACTGACAGACGGACAGACAGACAGACGGGACAGACGGACAGACAGACGGACAGACAGACAGACGGACTACGGACAGACGGACATTCGGACAGACGGACTGACTGAAAAAGACATGCATTGTAGTTTTTTCAGATTGTTATCCTAAATATCTTAAAGCTTAATCTCTTAGTCTTTGTCATCTTTTCTGTGGGATAGACATTCTTGTTTTTCTCTAGTATCAGTCGGATAAAGCAAAAGTTGTGGGAGAGATTAGAAGTTTGATAACACTCTCAGTTGAATATGCAGGTACATCACCAGTTATATTAGCTTGGTATGAACACTGTGTTAAGTCATGAAACTAATTTAAGGCTTTAACCCTTTATAATGAGTATGTACTTAATCTACCTGCTCACCAAGGTGTGTGTTTCTGTGTGTGTGTCTCATGTTTCTCCTTCCATTAGTTGAGTGGAGCTGCTGTTGAATGTTTGATGATTAAGCATGTTGAGAAGGAAGTGGTGTCATAGACGTCTTCTCGTCTATCGGGGTTAATGTTTTCCGGCAGCAGTTTCAAGTCTTGAACTTCTACTGTGAACCCTGCACTCTCTCCCGGTGTCGTGCAGTGTTTTTGTAGTACTCCGGTTCGGATATAAGTGTTAATTTTTGATATAAATAATATACTCTTAACATTAATGGCTTTCATGATAGTCATAAAAGTGGTCAAACCTCTGCAACAAATGTGTTTACCTGCTAAGGACACACCAAAAACAAACAAGACTAATATTGGTTTCAGCAGTACCAATAATTGAATTGAATTATCCGTCACCTACACAGTGCAATACGTTGTTCATTCATGAATTGCAAACGAGAATAGGTTTAGTTCACCCTTCCCCCAGAACATCTTTTACATGTTCATGTCAAAGGACGGATCACAAGAGTTTCTCAGAGCCACACACACACACACACACACACACACACACACACACACACACACACACACACACACACACACACACACACACACACACACACACACACACACCACACACACACTATTTGTGGATTTATAATCCCAATCCCACAATCCCCCTTCTTGTTCGACCAATCATGTCCCACCAAATCTTGAACGGCACGGCTGGGTAACCTACATGCAAGTGGTGTGTGTGTGTGGTGTGTGTGTGTGTGTGTGTGTGTGGGTGTGTGTGTGTGTGTGTGTGTGTGTTGTGGTGTGTGTGTGTGTGTGTGTGGTGTGTGTGTGTGTGTGTGTGTGTGTGTATGCGTATGTGTATGTGTATGTGTATGTGTATGTGTATGTATTAATCCCTGACAGTCTGTAACAGAGTCACATCTGGTTATCTCTGTGGCCCTTAAGCTTCCTGTTCAGGCAGGAACAGAATCAGTTACAAATGTTTTTTTTAAATCCCAAATGATTTACACTAAATTAAATTAAATCAACAGGAATTTTGAAAGATTATTATAATTGATTTACGTTCAAAACACAGATTAATATATGCTCTACCTGTAGCTTCTTTACTCCATTAAAAATAATCATTTTAATTGTATTGCACTCGATCATAAAACCCACTTCATTAAAACTTGACAGAGACAAAATGAAAATCATCAAAACCATCTTTGTTTTCTTCTCATTCTTCCAACAATCACCAACTCTGGTTTGAAAGTTTGAGTTACTGACTATGTAAAATATAACGAAAAGTGACCCTTGTAACATTGTCACTGTATTATTAACCCTACTTTACA